CTTTCATATAGTTAATTGATTCCCTTCACTATTTTTATGTTTTGTCTAGTTAGAGTTGTGGAATCTACTTGTTTTGATTGTTCAGTTGTTTATTGTTTTTTTTTATCCTTTTTCGGTTCTGCTTGATTAAGGAAGTAATCAAATTCACCTGTATTTTTTTTTATTTGCATAAATCATTAATATTCTTCTTAACCCTGAAACACTCGCTTCTCCTCCATTGGTTCTTCAGATCCATCTTTCGTATTTCACTATTTATACCTTCCTTATCTACGACCTTTTTACATATATTCTAACCACTCTTCTCCTCTTTCTTCCTCCCTCTTATTCCAACAGTGGGCTACGAGTCAAACGAGCTACAGCCTCAGTGGAAGGAGGATACGACCATTGACTACAGTTCGGTCGTTATGTCTCACGGCTACAGGCTTAAGGGGACCAAGCGAAGTGCCAAGTCTGTTGTCATTGGCCATAGTAAGTCGTTGGCTTATTGAGTGTTTCAGGCGCATGGTGGGGGTATGGTGGGGTGGGGGGGTGGGTAATGGGTGGGGTAGAGGTGGGTAAGGTTGGGTTAGGGGTGAGGGGTGAAGGGTAGGTAGGGGGGGGGAGGATGGGGGAAGTTGTGCAATCGGCGACTTTTGGCTGGGGATGTTGTTGGTGTTAATGGTTCGTATTTCATTTTGCATTCGTATTTTGGTTAATATCCTGAGGTTTATTATTGTCATTATTGTTGTTGCGGGTGTTGTGGTTATTATCATTATCATTGTTAATATCATCATGAAAATTATGATAATCATTGGTATTATAATCATTATTATTTTTACTATTATCATTATTATCGTTATCATTATCATCATCATCATTATTATATTTATTAAAGTGACCTTTATTCTTAACCACGAAAAACATACTAGCCCTTACTCAGCTTTTTAACATATTATTAGCCGCTCCGCGTTTAGGGGTTTACATGTTTCTTAGAATTTCATCGCGATATGATATTCCCAAGTTCATCCATTTGAAAAATCAATATGCAAGTAAGTTACATGTCACACACACACAGAAATATGTGTATATATATATATATATATATATATATATATATATATATATATGTATATATATATGCATATATATATATATATATATATATATATATATATATATATATATATATATATATATATATATATATATATATATATATGTATGTTTGTATGTATACACACATATACAAATATGAATGTACATATATATATATATATATATATATATATATATATATATATTATAGATATATATATATATATACACATGTGAGTGTGTGTGTGTATATGTGTATTTGTGTGTGTGTGGGAGCGCGTATGTGTGTGTGGGAGTGCGTATGTGTGTATGGAAGTGTTTTATGTGTATATATATATATATATATATATATATATATATATATATATATATATATATGTATATATGATTTCTTTACCAGATTTGTTGTAGACATACCCCATTATTTACTTTACTGTACCGTAAACCTTCTCCATCTTAGCTTATATGAGAAATACCCCAAGCATACAAATTGCATTGCTGGGGGCAGGAGTACGTAACTGAGTTTTCCGCTGATGAAAATCTGTGGTCTGCGTTGACCCTCGTAGTTCATGCGTTAACTGTATAAACTGCTCTCATGACCTAATATTTGTTGCATAGTGACGAGAGCTTGCCTGTTTTATATAATCTTTGTGGTATTGATAAACACGAAGGTTGTATTACAAGTTATAAGAGTACGAGAGAAAGAGAGAGAGAAAGAGAAAGAGAAAGAGACAGAGAGAGAAAAAGAGAAATAGACAGAAGAAAAAAAAGAAAAGAAAATGAAAATGAAAAAAAAGAAAAAAGAAAAAAAAAAAGAAAAAAGAACGAGAACGAAAGAGAGAAACAGAATGAAAGAGGAAGAGAAACAAGAGAGGGAGGCAGAGAGAACCACAGGAAGAGAGGAAGAGAGAAAATGTGCAGGATAATTCCGCAAGATCATGTAATCCATCCTTGTGGTCGCAATTTTCTTAACAATATCAGCAAGGTGGTTAACTCGGGGGAAGTGCCGCGGCTGTTCCAAGCAGGAGACAACCTCCCTCTAGGCTGCCATGTTAACTCGCTTAAGTGTCCTAACTGAGGCATTTGCTGTCTGGCCGCGTTCATTCACGGCGCTAATGGAGGAAACCCTCTTCCTCTCATTTATTCAAATTCCGTGGACGCGAAAAGGCAAGGAATTCACAAGTCTAACGATTTAATAACTTATGCAACTATATTACGCACTCGCAGATGAAACGCTCGATCTACAGCACGGATTATCCTAAGTCCTGTGGGATTTTACCCTAGCAAGATTTTAATGAACGCAACCCACTGCTCCGAATGCATGCACAAGTGGCTTCGTTTCAGGAATCAAGATACGAGATATGCTTAAGCAGAAGTGGGCGGGGCGGAAAATCGTCGCTTTTTATAAGAATTAATGTGTTTGGAT